GTCCTCTGACATACCATCTATATCCTATTTTGCTTGAGAATGAGGAACACCCACTAAAGGACTCAGGATTGTACCAGAGCTCCATAATATTGTTCTGGTGCCATGTAGGTAATGTTGTCCTTCATTCCAGCTGGCTGAAAATGTCTCATTATCAGAACCAGTGTAATTTACTGCATAGATGTCTTGCTTCATCCCCACCTCCCTTAAGAGTTCTTGAAGTTTTTCCATGGATTGCCATCTTGGGTGCAATGTGTAAATCACTCATATAGGGCCAAGAAATTTTATAGGTGGTTATTAGGACAGTAAAGAGATGGCAGGGTCCTCATGAACATCTTCATGTAAATGTTGTTGCACAGTAGAATATGTGGTACCCAAGGTGATTTTACTTATTTCACTCTGTATAGTTTCAAGGACCTCAGATACCTGTCAGATTCTGGGAGGTTATCTGTTTGAGCAAGACTAAGGTGGTTACCAACTGCTCTTACAGACAGAATCCAAGTGTTCCCTAACCCCAAGCAGTCACAGATCCTCCTGGGATTACTACACTGCTGGTCCTGCTCTATTCCATACTTAATAGAAATTTTAAAAACCATTGTATGATTTTATAAAAGGAAAAGTCCAGTCAGCTTGTGAACCTAAATACTTGAGGTCTCTTCCCAAACAAAAATAACTGTAAAACAGATCCCTGGGCATATCAGTCCCAAAACATCCCTATGAATTGGATGTTTTTAGCTTCCCTGATGGTTAGAATGGATTCTATGACCACAACAGTAGGGCAAAATGAATTTCTTTAGTATTTTGCTCACAGCTATGAAAGGAGATAAAAATATGGAGAGACATTTGGCAATGACAGCCACACTTATAACTGTGTATCAAGTGACATCACACAGTCCTGATCCTACACAAGGCAACCAGGAAGCAGATGATGTAGCTAAATTTAAATCACTATAAAATGAACCAGCTAAAGATATGGCTTCTTGGCTGTATAGAGAGATGGAACACAAATGAAACTCTCTGGTCTACTGCAAAAAAAGTGGGACTTCCCACTAAGGTACTCAGATATGGTACATATGTGGGACTTTCATCCTGTGAAGTATATCCTGGTCAGTTATTTATGTCATGAGGTAGGCAGCTTGAGTCATGCAGCCTGCACAACAGTACCATGCTGACTTCATTAGCCCCTTGCTCATTTTCAGACATTCAAACTAGACTACTATGGATGTAAGCTTGCAGAAGGGCCACACAGAAGGTAACTCTAAAAGGTCTTCAAATGCTCGATGTCAAATATAACACTCTCATGGATATAGACAGTGACACTTTACTGGCCACATTCTGTAAATGTGTAAAAGTGGACTAAGAATTTGGACATACATCAGCATTTCCATTTGCCTTATAACTAGAATATAGGATAATTAATTCCATGAATGAATGGCTCACTAAAACAGCAACTACAAATTGAAGATGGATCTATCCAAGTGTGGTTCAAGCAACTATGGATGGCCATCAGGAACATCAATAAATATGATGGCAGCATATACCCAAGTACCTGCCTGATGTTGACAAGAACCCGATGACACTATCTGTATTCAAATCATGATACATAAGAAGGACAAGTGCACTCCACAAATGGGAACACAGGATAATTCACTGGGGTCATTGCCATAGAAACAACCACAAGGAACCCATCTTTTGTCTTGGCCATGAGAATGGCAAATGAGGCTCAATAGTTTGGATTTCTAAGTCCATGAGGGAAAGGGGTCAATGTGACTAGAAATATCTTGAGATGGGCCACAGGCCAGCACTACTCTCAGAATAATCAGCTTGATTATGTATTGTTGAATATTAAAGATTTGCCTGTAATTATACTTGCTAAAAATACCTTAAATTTTATCCTTAGCAATACTTTATTTGCAGAATGGACAAATGACATTGCAGAATTGCAGAATGGATTTTTGGGTGTGCATTGAGCTGCTTCAGTCCTTCTGCAGTGATCTTTTATGATATCCAGAAAGAGTCACTGTGGCACAATGAAAAACAATGTTCAGTTGGAACAATATCCTCCATTCATGTACCCAGCTGGACAACTGCTTTATAAACCTGAAAATAAATTCAAATTCTCTTAAACATACCAAATATTATATCTTTCTCTTGTCTGGTAACAAATGAACATGACAAAGACTTACTGGGGTATACTGTGTGACAGCAGGGGGTGGCTACATACAACCCAGGTGGAAACGAAAAGAAAATTTCTTATCTGTATTAAAAAGAAATAATGGTGGCAATAACAATTCTCTGTTTTCTATAAATATAGTTTGATCCCCTGTTGATCAATGTGATTTCAGCATGATACTTAATGACACATACTATTTATGATGACAAAGTCAAACGCCATGTTCCAAAGGTTATCCCTCCCCTTGGGTGTGGTTATGGGCCTGCAATATCCATGGATGGACATCCCTGCCTTATAACTGGAGAAATAAATAAGTAAATGTCAAAAATTATATTTATTTCACCTGTTCTTTTTAGTTATACATGACAGTAGAATATAATTTGACATGTTTATACAAACATGGAGTACATTTTATTCTAATTAAAATTATTTTAGAATGGAGTAGAAATTATTATTTTAAGGTATTTATTATTTATTTTTAAATGTTTTTGTTAGTTAATAATCGGCTTCCTTTTGACATAATTATATATGCATGCAATTTAATTTGCTCATTTTCAGTGCCCAGTATTTCCTCTTTTCTTTCCCTCCTGTCTCTTTTTCTCTTCATCTCCTCTACTGACCTTCCTTCCATGTATTTGTTTATTGATGTTTGGTTGGTGATTTATAGACACAAATAAAGATGAAATTTACCGTATTATACTCAAATATCCACATAGCATAATTTGGTCAATTTTATTCCACAATTCTTCCCTTTTCCCAATAATTCTTTCTCCTTCTCAAATTTTGAAGAAGCAATATGAATACTACCAAACTTCTTTCTCTACTCTTGTAATATACCTTTTATTTTCATGGGATCCCTCTTTTCTCTTATTTTTCCCTAGCTTGCGTGTATGAGAGAAGACATTCTACCTTTGACTTCTGAGTCGGGCTTATTTCACTTACATGATGTTCTCCAGTTCTATCATTGTGCCAACTTATGCCATAATTTTATTCTAGTTTATGGCTGAGCAAGATGCCATTGTGTATACATAATATGTGTGAGAGAGTGAGTCTCTGTATGTGTGTGAGTAGGTGAGGAAAGGGGTCTACTTGAGTTCCACAAAATTTCTGCCTTGGTTGGACACAAAAAGTTTATATTATATTTTACAGATATAAAAAATGATTCCCAGCTTTTCCTGACATAGATCAATCTCATTAGGTTACTATAGTGAATAGTTAAAGCTCAATTTTTGCTTAAACTGTTAATATGCATGTAGGGGAAAATATAGACAGAGAAATGTGATTAATCACATCAAAGCCTGTGGGAAATTGCATCAGAGTCCTGAGTCCCAGATGCTACTTGTTAAAATAAAAGGCCGTCTCTCCAGTGTTCAGCTACTACTACTCATCTGCTCATCTCAGGTAAGTTCCTGAGTATTCAGCTTTAAACACAGAGTTAAAAAAAAAAAAAAAAAAAAAAAAAAAAAAACTAAGAAATTTACATATATTTTTTTTTACTATTTTAGAAAAAAAAACATGAGAAATTTATAAGGGAATCATACTTTACCAGCGATTTTTATTTAAAATGTTCTCTAATGCCTGAAATAGATATTTCCCCCCTCAGAATTAGAAGAATTTGAATGAACTTAATAAATCCACAAAATCACATCTTTATTTTATTTGTAATTTTTTAAAAAAAATGTTTATTAGACCTTTATGGTTAGATATAGTACTTTGGTTTATCTCAGATGTGCATGGAAATTGATTTCAGTTCATGATCCCCTTGATAGTACGTTATACCTTTTATTACTGTGCATGTTCACATATATATTTAAGGAAAATAAACAACAGCATGCAAATTCAACTCCATGTGAATCACATAATATATTTATATAGGTCTAAAATTTACCTACACATATTTATCATCCATATTCCAATTCTCATAAATTAACAAATAGTCATACACATGCATGAATTCTGGACACACAGAGGAAAATTACACTAGCCCAAGAAAAAGAAGCTATATATATATAAAATAAAATATTCACTGTGCCCCATCAAATTTCCAATTTTTAACACAAAAATCCATTTAAATTCAATGAAATGAAAATGGATAAGCTAAATTTTATTGATTCTTTTTCTTTTTAAAATATTCTTTGGTCAGAAGACTCATCAATGTGTAACAGACCACTGCTACAAGTAGGTTCAGAGTATTGTGCCCAGACTGTAACATCCTACTAAGTAAAAGTCAATAAAACTTATTTCATGTGTTTCAATACTAAAAAAATAGGATAAGAATAGTAGCAGTAAATTTCTTTATTAAGCAGTGGTTTTATTCTATATTTCTAGATTTCTAGAAATTTTATGCCAAATTTTTTGAACCTAATCATGATTTTAAAGGAATGTAGTGCAATGATTTTTTTTTCCTTCATGTGAATATTCTGAAGCATAGCAAAAGCTTACTCAAGCATTTTGTAGCCTCATCTCTCAAATATCTGTGTTTTTTCAATATTATTTTGAATATCAAATGAGATTTCAGTTCATCAAAGTCTAATTCTTGAGGCAAGGGATGCAGACCACACAGATACTAGAAAACATGTAGAAAGTCACAGACTCATGTGTATTTAGATCAGAGTTTCTCAACTGTTTATCAGGGATATTTATTTCTAAAAATATTTCCAAGTAATAATGTGTTTAAAATGACATATGACTAGATGATATCCTTAAGAAGTAATGCAAAAACAATATTCTCCTTTACAGATCCATTGCTGAAGTCTACAAGTACAAAATTGGCATTTAAAAACGTTTTTTATTATTATTTTCTCAAAAGTTTACCTAAGACTAAAGAAGAATGGACAGGGAAAATTGTTCTTTGAAAGAATTCATTTTGATGGGAATTACTGATAACCCTGAGATGAAACTGACCCTATTTATGATATTTCTACTTGTTTACCATATTAATCTTCTTGGAAACCTTGGAATGATCTTCTTGATTAGAGTGGATCCCCAACTTCATACACCCATGTACTTTTTCCTCAGCCACCTCTCTTTCTGTGACCTCTGCTATTCCACAGCAATTGGGCCCAAGATGCTGGTCGACATATTTGCTAAGAACAAGTCAATTCCGTTCTTTGCCTGTGCTCTGCAGTTCTTCATCTCCTGCACCTTTGTAGATTCGGAGTGCATCCTGCTGGCAGTGATGGCCTTCGACAGATACAAAGCCATCAGCAACCCCTTGCACTACACAGTAGACATGTCCAGCAGGATTTGTTCTGTGCTTTTAGCTGGGGTTTACCTGGTGGGAACAGCAGATTCTTTGATACATACAACATTGACCTTTCGCTTATGTTTCTGTGGGTCTAATGAGATTAATCATTTCTTCTGTGACATCCCTCCTATCCTATTACTGTCTTGCTCTGACACACAGGTCAATGAGTTAGCGATATTCACCATTTTTGGTTTCATTGAACTGAGTACCATTTGTGGAGTCCTGGTCTCTTATGGCTACATCATCTCATCAGTCTTAATGATCCGCTCTGCTGAGGGGAGGCTCAAAGCTTTCTCTACCTGTGCCTCCCACTTAACTGCAGTTGCAATTTTCCAGGGAACTGTGCTCTTCATGTATTTCAGGCCAAGTTCTTCCTACTCTCTAGATCAAGATAAAATTAGCTCATTGTTCTACACCCTTGTGATTCCCATGCTGAACCCTCTGATTTATAGCCTACGGAACAAGGATGTAAAAGAGGCCTTACAAAAAGTGAAAAATAAAATGCAGCTTTAAATATTTATTATAAGCTCCTCTCTCCCACACATGTGTGATTATTGTTTTCTTAAATTGGCAAGTAATTGCATATAAAATTTTTTTTTCTCAAACATTTAGGTTAATGAAATAAGTATTGATCTTAAAGTCTGGCCATAGGAAAATGTTATAATTCCCTAACCTCTTTAAATTATATAGGATACTGCATTCCAGTGGAACACTTTGGGGATCTAATTTTGCCAGATTTTTATTTTTTCTTTTACTCAAAAACTTTCAAATATATTGAAGCTTATTAAGATTGTATGGTGTCTATGCATTTTGATAATTCATTTTCATGGTAAACATAGTAATCTCTATGGTAAAGCATCCCCTCAGCTATTGGAAGTAACATGTATTAATTAACTAAGCAGTCAAATACTTCATAATAAACTTCAAAGCCTTTATGCAGTCAAAGCGCTGAGGAATAAATTCGAAAAATGTTCAAATCCAATGTGTGGAGAAGGGCTTCTTTGGTTCAAGTTTCTCAATTTTGAGTTCTAGAGAAATGCCACTTGGGAAACTGTTTTATATTGTTAAAGAGCAATGAGAAGAACCTGGTTACGGATCTATCTGGGGTAATTGCTAAGGGTCAACTCTTCCTCACTTCTTTCAGTACTTTCTTCCCTTTTCTCTATCTTGGTTAAATGTCCCCTTTTTAATATCTCACAGACAGCTATCTCCTAAAGGCATTGTTTTAATGTCATCCTGTATATGTTCGAAATATTTGCTTCCAATAGGGTATTGCAAGTGTCCTTTCCTTGAAGACACAGTGATGCATCCCTGTTATGTGAAACAATGGCTTTGAGTTTGTGAGAAGAAAGGGGGAAACAAATAAATAATAAAATAGAAACATTAGATATTTTTAGTGCTGCCAGATGTCACTAAAACAAAAATAATTTGCTAAGGTGTATGCCTTGAGTATACATATTTTTGAACGTTTGATACATTATGTAAAATTATTGTGGATATAAATATAATAAATCTATAGATACATATGATTGCATTGAAAATAAATATTATGAATCTGTATATTTGTGATATGTGTCTATTTCATCTTTCTCTACTCTAGTATTCTGTTTGCTTAGACAACTGAATGAGCTTGTTGAGAACTAAACTTATGTGTCAGTATGCATGATGGATTATATGCGACTCAAAGTCACTAGAGTTATGTATTACAATTGTGGAAACTAAAAGCCAATAATGTCCCAGAATTTCTAGTTGGCATTATAAAATGTTTGAAAACATTTCAGAATGAAATGAAAGCCCCAAAATACTCTTTGACTTTCAAGGTGAAATTTATGGGACAAAGTGACCGATCAGATAATGTCATGGTGGAACAAACCTAAGAACAATACTTTTTTAGATAAAGGCTTTAAAGGTTTCTACATGTACCTTGCTTTCCATAATACGGTCTTTGGGATTTTTGTTATGAGCAACACCACCCCAGAAAACATTGCAATTATTAAAAGTATGTTGGGCTGGGGTTGTGTCTCAGTGGCAGAATGCTTGCCTAGCATGTGTGAAGCACTGGGTTCGATTCTCGGCACCATGTATAAATAAATGAATAAAATAAAGGTTCATCAACATCTAAAAAAATATTTTTAAAAAGTATGTGCATAATGTGCTCTTAATGGACAGCTAATAATGCAAATGTCATTACATGTATTCTAATCAATACATTTTCCTTAAATATGATACTTAATGATTCAGCATCTAAACACTGACTTAATCTATCTCTTGGCTCTGTTATCAGATCTATTTGCTGTGAACTATAGGGAAGAAAAATTTCAAAGTAATACAACCAGGAGTCCCAAATACAATTTATTGAACTTATTAATTCTAGCCCTCCTTCTGTCTTCCCACCAAAACAGAAGTTAAATAACAAATTATTGTGAATATTTTTAGGTGATTCAAAGTTAGAATAAAAAAAAATAAGCATATGCTCCATAATATTCTCCTATTTAGGGATTCAACATATGTCAACACAATATAAAAAAATATGATCTATTCTAGCTTGTTTCATAGCAGTGGTACATTTGGATACATGAGTAGCACAGATAATACTAGTCACAGGCTGTGTAAATGCATTGATTAGAATTGACCAGTAATGATGTTCAAAGTCTCAATAAAAGAAAGTTTCCGTTTCAGTCAAGTGTAGCTATTTATTTATTTATTTATTTGACAACAGGAATTGAATCCATGAGTACTTAACCAATAAGCCATATCCCCAATCCTTTTTTATTTTTCATTTTGAAACAGTGTCTAGCTAAATTGCTTAGGGCCTCACTAAATTGCTGAGGCTGGCTTTGAATTTGGGATTCTCCTGCCTAAGCCTCTGGAGCCTCACTGGGATTACAGATGTGAGCCACCCAGCCTGGCAGTTCCTCCGTTTTTTAAGGGTCATAATTTTTAAAGGTCACACACACACATACACATAAACCAAAAAAAAAAAAAAAGGGTGGTGGTGGTGAGAATTTACAGGAGTTTATGGTCACAAAGTTTTTTTGGTTCTTGTACCAAACTACTTGATCTGCAGCAGATTGGTGTGGTTCAATTAGAAGGCAACTTGGGGAATGAGCTGATCCCCAGGGCAAAGAATATTTGTCACTCAAAGAGCATTATTAATTCTGAAAATAGGATATATTTGAGAAGTCAGAAAGCCTCTGTTCAAATAAAATATATTGCCAGCCCTTAAAATATAATCTTCCTTATTTCTCTCTCTTACATTTCACCCAGTCAAAACAGGTAAGTATTATATTTAACCTTGATCCAATAGGTAAGCATGAACTACTCTTAATTAGTACAATTTTAATTTTACATATATGTATACTTTTTTTGTGTCAGCAAAGAACAGTTTAGTTTAGAAAAAAAGATATATATATATATATTTCAAAGCACTAATTTGGATGGTCTTTTTACCTTTCTGGCTTTAATTATTTTATTATCAAATGAGGTCAAAATAAAGTGTTTGTAAAACTAATGAATCCCTGTCTTTAAGATTATCATAATTTTTATCATCATCTTCTTCAATGTTAATATTAAAGTGATCTCTATGTGTTAAACACATTTAGGCATTTTATATTTAAGTATCATATGTTTTATCTGCAGTATATCTGGGAAAGGCCTCTCATAAAAACTATTTCTTGTCAATGCTGAACCAGGTAATGGACAGATATTATTGAATTGGGTTTGCATGCTATCCAGTAATGTCAAAGTATTTCATTGTTTGTTCTGATAATTGTTCTTTTGTTAATCTCCTACATTGTATTAATTTAAAATCAATAAATGAATGAAATTTGACTATTGTATGACAGTATATTTAAAAATTTTTAATTGTACAGCCTTTTTAAAAACTTTTTTTGATGGACCTTTATTTTATTTATTTATTTTATTATATACAGTGATGAGAATCACACCCAGTGCCTCAGACATGCCAGGCAAGCACTCTACCACTGAGCCACAACCCAGACCTGTTGTATAGTCTTATCCTGAAATCTAAGTAATGTCATTCTTAGCTACTTATTGAAGATTTTAAAAACTTAGTTATAGAATTTTCCTTTTTATGTGATCATTTGATTTTTTTCTTTTAATTTTAAGCTGATACAAAATGTTCATATTTATGTGACACCATGTGACATTTCCATATGTGTATACTTGCATAATGTTTAAATCAATGTAAAACTCACTTCTTGAACACTCACATTTCTTTATGGTAAAACATTTCTTAAAGATACTTTTTTTTCTTTCTTTTTCTTTTTCTCTCTTTCTTTATATATTTTAGTAGTATTGGGTATTGAACCCTGGGGAAGAGGGGCTCTTCTGTCTCCTTTTGCTTCCTCTCATTTCTTTGGTGTAGGCTAGATAATAACTACCTTACATGTTAAGTTATTTGAAAGCTTGGATGAGACTAATGTCCTGCGACAAGACACATTTCTAACCATGTGCTAAGATTGGTAGATCTGTACAGTGACCAAGATTTCCTCTTCAAACATACATAGACAGAAGGGGGGAAGAGGCTATGTTGTGCTTCCTAGGGCATCCTAAGTTAAACCGCAAGCCCTTTTTTTATTTTATTTTGAGACAGACTCTCACTAGGTTGCTGAGGCTAGCCCCAAAATTGTAATCATCCTTGCACCAGTCCCTCGAGTAGCTGAGATTACAGGTTAGCACACAGTTCCTCACTATCTAGATACTCCTGTTTAAGCAACAATACAATTTTGCTGTCTATAGTGGCCCTACTGGGCAATGGCATGCCAGAAATTTCTAGTGTAACTACAAGAACATAGTACACATAAACCAACCTCATACCATCTCTCTACTCCCTTTTCCTCAGCTCTGTTAATCACCACCATTATACTCTTGTTTCTGGGGAATCAAGTTAGAACATCTTCACAATGTCTAAAATCAAGACCTTTATATAACTATGGAAAACTGTTTAAATATTTAAAGTACTTCAGCATATTGACTGAAGTACTACAAATGATTTAAAAAAAATACATTTAGCATTGTTTTACCCAGTCACAGAAAGTCCTTAGGATGCCCAAGGAAGCACAGCCTAGACACTTCCCCACTTCTGTCTATGTATGTTTGAAGAGGAAATCTTGGTCACTGTACAGATCTACCAGTCTTAGCACATGGTTAGAGATGTGTCTTGTTGCAGGTCGTTAGTCCCCATCCAAGGTTTCAAATAACTTAGCATATAAAGTGGTTATTATCTAGCCCACGCCAATGAAATGAGGTGAAGTGCTACTCTAAGGAGAGCAAAAGGAAACATAAGCAAAGTGCACAGCCTAAAGTAAAGCTGCTCACCTCAGCTGCTAGCTTTATTTATATCAATAGGTTACTTTAGGTCATTGGCATCATTAGTACACATTGTTCATTGTATCACTAGGCAGGTTACAGATTTAGCAACATTATGAAGTCAATTCCTCAGTTACATACTAATTTGCAATGTGCAATGTTAAGAGCATTTTTTTTTTAAT